GAGTCAAGTTTAAAATCTTTTAGTTGCACAGGAGCAGGAAACATTCCCTCAAAATTAAAGCCTTCAACTTTTCCCATTTCTGAGTTAGCAGTTTTCCCATCAAAATTTTCACGTCCGTACATGAGTACTGGACGATTTTAAGAAGCTGAATTCAAAATCTTTTGGTCACACATGAATAGGGAACATTACCCTAAAGTTTCAGCTTTCTAGCTTTTCCCGTTTCGCGCCAAAATTCCCACACGCTCGTAAGTGGACTCGGGCGCTTCTAAACGCATGATTTTGCTCGTACACGAGTAGAGAATATTCCCTCAAAGTTTCAGTTTTCTAGCTTTTCCCGTTCCCAGGGTAGTAATTTTCGCGCCGAAATTTCCACATACCCATACTTGGGCTCGGGCGCTTCTAAACACCTGATTTTGCTCGTACATGAATAGGGGACATCCCCTCAAAGTTTCAGCTTTTTAGCTTCTCCCGTTCCCAAGCAGGTAATTTTCGCGCCAAAATTTCCACACACTCGTATGTGGGCTCGGGCGCTTCTAAACGTCTGATTTTGCTCGTACATGAGTAGGGGACATTCCCTTAAAGTTTCAGCTTTCTAGCTTTTTCCGTTCCCGGGTTAGTAATTTTCGAGCCAATAATTTTCACGTTCCCGTACGCGAGCTCCTGGCGGTCCTAAGGAGCTGAATTTGAAAACTTTTGGTCGTGCTTGAGCATAGAACATTCCCCCAAAGTTTCAACTTTCTGGCTTTTCTTATTCTCGAGTTATGAATTTTCCTGCCAAAATTTTCAAGTGCCCGTACGCAAGCTCCGGGCACTCCTGGGCATCTGAATTTGAAATATTTTTGTCACACGTGGGTAGGGAACATTCTCCCAAGGTTTCAACTTTTTAGCTTTCCTCGATCCTGAGCTAGCGATTTTCGCGCCAAAACGTTCACGTGCTCGTACGCGGGCCCAGACGTGTGCGAGGGTTGAAACCGCGGCACTGGGGTGGTACCTGGCTGGGGAACACACTGGCAAAATTTCAGCTTCAAAGCTTGCATGGTTAGTGAGTTGAAATACCCGGACAGACGAACACACACACACACACACACAAACACACACACATACACACATACTTACACATACACTGAAGGGTCATTGTATATGCGTTTTTGCTGCCTGTTGCAGCGCTCTAGCCCTGCACGGCAAAAACGCATAAAAACCAGTAACCATGCACCTGGATGTCCGTGCGACTCTGTAATGCACCACCTTCATCCCAACTGACGCCCTTCCTCTTGCATGCCGGAAAGGATTAAAGCACGGCCAATATGAGCCCAGGTGTTAGGCTACAGAGTAGAGATCATTCCTGCTAATACCAATCTGCGAGTTTAGTGCAAAAACGCATGATTACACCGGAGAGCCTGGTGCGTTCCAGCCTGGGTTCTAGATCTGTAGCGTCACTTCTACGTTTACTGAGGATTGAGCGCAGTACTCACAAGATTAGCTACCAAATACCCAGCGTAGAAGTTGTATGTGTGCGCGTGTATGTGTATGTATGTGCGTGGTGTGTGTGTGTGTGGGCATATGAGTCAGATGTTTGTTTATTTGCCTATGCCTGTGCTTGCTTATTTGCCTATGCCTGTGCTTGTGTGTGCACGTGTGTGTGTATGTGTAGGTCTACGTATGTATGTGTTCATCATTTTACCATCGATCATGAGCTGAACTTGTCCGCTTTTTTGTGCTTTCTTTATAGCATGAGTTGTGTTATTCTTTTTGAATTACTTGCCTGTAAATAAGCGACGAGCCTTAGGACAAACGTGCACAGATACAGCGCATTGGTGATGAAGTCGAGTATATTCCACAGATCTGTGCAATAGTCGTAAAGTCCGCTATTCCACAACTGCTTGATTTCAACCCAAATTAGTCCTGCAACACAAAGACGTAGAGATCTTTGCTGTTGTTTTTATTTCCGGTTAACTGGACAACGGAGTAGAACTCACCAAAAACCCAAACCAAGATTGTCCATTCAACGGGTGTTGGCGGAGGGCCACGGAGCTCCTTTCGATCCGGATCTCTTTCGCCATCTGTGGCTGCCGCTGATGATTCAGCACCGTAATTGATTCGCTGACTAGCAAGGATAAGCAAAACTGAAATCCCTTTTTTTACCTAGTCCGAAGCAACAAATATTAGGAAAGAAGCAAAGCCAAAATGCACAATTCAAATTTTTGTTCCGGTATGAAAATCTGCCTAAAAACCAAAAAAGTTGTACTCAGGCACAGAGAAGGGATAAAAGGCCCGTGCTCATTTCCGAAAATTGCTGCCAAAATTTTGTATTCAGAAATTTTTAATCATTTACAGGTTTCTCAAGCTTTCTTCAATTTAGTCGTTATCCAGAAGGTAACCTACAAAGAAAAAAGCAATAAGATGTGGAATGGCACAGAAATTTGATAAAGGGTCGACGAGCAAATTCAGCAAACGATGATTTAGGCGCAATCAAGTAAATAAATGCGAGCACTGGTGAGGCAATCGATACGGCCAGGATGACAATCATCTGAAATCCCTTGATCACTTACTAACATTTTTTGCGCCCTATCAATAAGTTAAGCTTTTCTGCATTACCTGTGAAATGCACAAACACATGCCGAGAGGCTGTGTGTGTTTGGATTATGTCTGTTATTCTCAGCTGGGCAGTCGGAGAACCAGGAAGCAATAATTTTACAGGGAGCTCAAAAATTTAAAATTCAGCTTCATATGCAGCAGTGAATTTAAAATCTTTAAGTAGCGCACGGGCAAAGAACATTCTTGTAAAGCAAAATTCTTCCCTCCCAGAAATATAACTGTTATGTCTGCATGCGTCTAGAAGGCGTCAAGGCCTCGCGCACGCACAGGCAAAACTACAGGCGAAACGCACCAACACCCCTAAGTGGACCAACTAGAATTTTAATCAGCTATTAGCCTGAATTTCACCATCAAGAGGCTTTAGTTAATGTACGCTGCATGTGAAGCGAAACTGGGGGAAGACACATCATACTTATTATTTGAAGTAAGTTTGATGGAAAATCTGGTAACTACTAAAATTCGGCTCGGCTCGGCTCGGCTGGCCCTCGGCTGCCTCGGCCGGACCGGCTACCTCGGCCGCACCTCGGCCGCCTCGGCTTGCCTCGGCCGGCCCCAGGCAACGGCATTATCGTGAAGCATGGAGTGGGAGAGCTGGACGGGGAGGTGAGGGGACAGGCAGGAGAAGGGGGAAGAGGCGAACGGGGAGGACGTTGCAAGGCAGACGGGGGGAGGTAACGGCAGTGGGGACGGATGAGAAAGACGGGCATGAGAGGAAGCGGGGAGAGGGGGGAGCAAAGATAGGGGAAGGTACAGGGAGGGGTGGACAGGGGGACTGCTGCGGGAGAACGGTGACCGCGGAA